CTTTTTCAGAGGGGGTAGTGGTCGTTTCTTCTTCTACGGGGTGTTTATAATGATGATGCTTCTTTTTCTTATGTACTTCTACTTCAGAGGGTGTAGTAGTTTCAGTAGTTTGTTCTACGGGGTATTTATTATGATGACGATGATGATGATGATGCTTATGTACTACAATAGTTCCAGTGGGTGCAGAGGGTGTAGAGGTAGTCGTTGAAGGCGGGTAACAATGATTCTTCTTATAATACTCTTCTTCTTCGTGGGAGGGGTATTTATGATGCTTCTTATAATACTCTTTCACGGTAACATTATGGTATTTTTTATAGCACTCTTCTTCCTCTTCCGTGGTAGAGGGGTATTTTTTATGATATTTATAATACTCTTCTTCCTCAGAACAGGGGTATCTTTTATGGCTATTATAAAATCCTTGTGACTCGGTAGAGGGGTATTTTTTATGCAGTTTATAATAACCTTCTTCTTCGTGAGAGGGGTATCTATGATACTTCTTATAATACTCATTCACAGTAACATTATGATACTTGTTATAGCACTCTTCTTCCTCTTTCTCGGTAGAGGGGTATTTATAATGATCCTTATAATACTCTTCTTCCTCAGAACAGGGGTATCTTTCATGTTTATGATAATATTCTTGTGACTCGATAGAAGGGTATTTTTTATGCAGTTTATAATAACCTTCTTCTTCGTGAGAGGGATATTTACTATACTTCTTATAATACTCATTCACGCTAAGATGATGATACTTGTTATAGGACTCTTCTTCCTCATGCTCGGTAGAGGGGTATTTATGATAACTCTTATAATACTCATCTTCCTCAATACAAGGGTATCTTTCATGTTTATGATAATAATCTTGTGACTCGATAGAGGGGTATTTATTATGCCAGTAATGATATTCATCTTCTGCGTAAGAGGGGTATTTTTTGTGCAGTTTATAAAAGCCTTCTTGCTCATGAGTGGGGTATTTACGGTGAATCTTATAATAGTCATCTATGGAAATATGATGGTACCTATTATAGCTCTCTTCTTCTTCTTCCTTGGTAGAGGGGTATTTATTATGTATCTTATAATATTCACTATACTCAGAACAGGGGTATTCATGATGTTGTTTAAAGTATTCATTTTCCATGGTAGTAGGATATCTATGATGCAGTCTATAATACTCATCCTCTTCTTTACTATGTGTGCAAGTAGTTGTTGCGGCTCTTGCTGTTTCGGCGGCTCTGGTTGTTTTGGCTCCTCCGGTTGTTTTGGCTCCTCCGGTTGTTTTGACTCCTCCGGTTGTTTTGGCTCCTCCGGTTGTTTTGGCTCCTCCGGTTGTTTTGGCTCCTCCGGTTGTTTTGGCTCCT